GACATCCGTTGCCGCCGCCGCTGCTGCTTTTGTTGTTGCTCAACCAATAAGGTTCGGCTTAGTCCTGACTCTGGCGAGGCGCCTTGTGGCCAGGCAAATAGACGTGTTGGAGATTACGTAGCCAAAGGATAATAGTGTGACCATAGACATTTGCAACTCATACATTTATCGTATCCTGTTGGTTTTCTATGTTGGCCGAGTTGTACGAAGTCTGTGTTTTAGGTGATTCAGGACGTGGATCACGATACTAATCATAAGTTCCAATGGCGTTTATAGTGTTGCTAGTACAATCCCGCTTTCAACCAAACAAACGCTACCCCGATAAACTCCACTCCGCATTTGTTGGACGCGTGCTAGCACACCGAATATCGGAGCTCGGATATCACAAGCAAGTAAAAGTTTTGGCATATATAGGCAGGCATAGATAGATAGATGCATGTATGTTAAGTGACGAAACATATACAACGATGAAACGCATCTACAAGGCCGATTATTACTAGCGGACTCAGCGGGGGTCAACGCGCGTGCCATACCAACCAATAAGCAAAACTTGACTGCAATTGAGATGTAATAAAGCTTAATGGAGAAGCTGTCATTTCAACAGGATAAGCATACTCTCGACCGGTTTCTTACGTTTTGTTTCGAAATACCTTACGTACAACGGCCCTTCATAGATGACTACTCGACCCCTGTGATTACGATGACCATCTAATGAATATCTGGCGGGGTAGTGCGCTACTTTTTGTTCAAGCTACACAGACCCTGTACTTCACACAAAGAACTTCTCCGCTTCTTCGCTAATTCTCTCTCGTTCATTAGTTAGTTAGTGCGCCTTTGACAACTGGATTATAAACGTCGTCGTTAATACAAAAACAATTTAGTGTGCTAAGATCGTATAGAGGCGAACACGCCTGATTCGGCTCCTTATGTTTCTATGGAATTTGTCTGCTTGTGTATATAATACTAGATGAACGGGCCAAAAATGTTCTACTTTATGCATTATCTCACAATACCTCCTCTCCCACTTCCCCTCTCTCTCTATTTAGATATAATAAAGAGCTGATACAGATGGCACGAGCACTGGTAATTACTGCCATTGTCACCAGTGAGTAGCATGTTTATTCTCACTTGGCACCTTTGCTATCTGACTTGAACGAAATATTGCTTGTAACTATTACTTGATATCGTCCCTGGGATTATGAATATCGTTTTGCACTGTTTTTTCTCCGTGCATGTGAATTCGTCAAAGATGTTTCAATAGAAAAAGCAGACAGACACACCACCGTTGCTTCGTTAACAGCCAACAAAAACGCCTTATTCGCAGAGTATGGCCTCCGTGAACGCACTCCTCGTAGTAGACACGATTGACTCACGTGCGTGATCTTAGCGCGCTCATCTCATCTAGATTCGTCCATAGTGCAGAAGTCATTCAGTCATTTATTGATCGTCCCGAGGGTGAGTTCTATCTGCAATAAAATAGTATCCTGGAGAGCCTCTATGACACCAATGACTGGACAGGCAGATGAACCAGAGTTGTTATGTCTGGTTCGTCCATCGGATCGGATCCTCTGCTTGCCCTGTCCTCATCCGCTTGTTCATAGGCGTTCTTTCCCCGCGCCCCTTGACCCCCTGCATCACACCGTCCCTGGTCCTGGTCATCATTCTCTGACGGTCGACGAAGCTAAACGCGCTCGGAACAAATGAAGGTAGGTGATTCTATGAAACGAACCGAGTGCGCCCTGTGTTGACGGCTACATATAACAGTATACTCACTCAGTACAAGACCTACCCCATGGACGACGAACAATATAACTACGGCCTGGTGACAGAGTTTTATATTCCGCTTATGATGTGGCTGTTTCTGTTATTTGTAAAACTGTTAATACGCACCAGGGCTGAGTAGGTCGCTAATAGGTATCTGGTCCATACGAATGGTGGTTGACTTCCGTTGAAGCGCGAAAGACTATAGGCCCAATCTCGAGCATTGAACGGATGAGTAGATGTCAAGTTTGTATAGACTTCTACGAGATGTAACATTGCTCGTTCTTCCCCTGTACTTTTCTCACATTGCTATAAACACACATATTTACGAGTATAGCACGGGCGGCAGAGCGAGTTATCAATTTAAAACATGGATTCACCGCCAGCACTATTGAGAGCTCCTGGCCACTGGCATCGGTTGTGCTGGTACTGTTTTGATACAACCCCACAGACACACAAACCCAGATGCATACCCACTTGTCGATATACATGGTTTCCGCTAGAGTTGGCTGTAGCTGCCTAACCCCCGTTGCGGACGTTGTGCCTTTTCGTTCGCGTCGACATCCCGACATGCGTGAAGATAGCAAAACGCAAAAAGAGCTAGCGGTGATCCTACGCAAGCGGCCTTCATTTCAGACGCTCTCGAACACATACGAACCAGTGTACGCTTTTCACCTCGAAAGGCAAAAACGACTCGTCCACTTACAGAAGTTATCCGATGCTAAGTTGGCATTACGAAGCTTATCTGATGCGCCACGAACGATCCCAAACACGAAGGAGAAAGAAATTTGCTCTCATCAAGTATCGGCGAACGCACTATGGGATCCGCTGTAACATCACTTGTTGATGACAATAATCTTTGTCAGATTAGCCACACCCGTCGTTGCGCAGCGAAAAAGAAGTCACTCTTCCATATTGAAAGCGATTTCTGAAATTGTGCCATGCATAGGGCTATGGCAAGCAGGTACAGAACCTTCGGGATTCAATAGCGCTGAAAATAACAGGGTGGATTGGGGGGTAAAGGGGAAGGGAATAGCGATCAATAGCATCGTTTGCGACAGTGGGAGTCCTTGTGCGGTAACGGCACTCTCATTGTAAATCTTCACTAAACTTCATTCAACCCCCGCGTCCACCTCCTTTTTATATATGACCAGTCCTTTCCGTGCTAGAAACAGCCTACTCACGACCTTTGATAGCAGCTTTAGTGCGTATAATGCTTTCAGTGGGGTTGTGCTTCATTCTGGTGCGAAATTACACTATAAAAAGCAAAATCCCACAGTTCAAGAACGACACAGGAAATAGGAAAAGATTCGAGCACTCAACCCCTCGAGGTTTATTAGCAGATTTTTCCTTTTTCTATTCATATAGTTCATGGAACGATATATAACAATATTTTGAACGTTCCACTTGTCCATTTTCGTAGATATTTTGGGAACTTTGTCAAGCTGCTAAATCAATACGCCTGTCTATAGTGATTTCTTTTTTATCTACGTTATTTTTCGAGTTAGAAATGAAATTCTGTTCCAGTGATGATAAGCAGACGAGAAAAAAGCCCTCTCTTTCGGTGTACGCATTTAAGTTCCAAGTGAAAGATACGATAGAAAATGATTTATTATTTAAAATTTACAGTAAACATTAGTGAGCGATAGTAGTGAATTCCATTATTTACATATGTACATAATCAGGTACACGTATATACGGCGATAGATTCGTTGCTGGAGAGGCGTTCTTGGAAGCTGAATAACCATTGTTGAAAATACGTATAATGCATATAACATATAGTTCTGGGGGCGTCTATATGGGGGTTGCTAAATTGCTTCCGTTAGTTCTATCGGACAATAATAAGATCTTTAATAGCATTTTGAGAGTCTTTTTTTAAAGTTAGATACTAAGAGGTTTTAGCCTAGACAAGAGAAGTTGTCTGAGAATGCAAGATTCATGATATCGACGTTGCCATTTATCCAGCGATAGAATATTCGTTGAAAACTAGAAGATAATTGCTCTAGCAATTTCTGCCTGATTCGGACAAAGTTAACGAGGTAATGGTGATCGTAGACGTGGCTCCAGGCCTTCTGGCGTAGCGGTAGTTCTTCTTTTCGAAGGTGATCAATATTTGTTTTTCAGTAGTACTATAGCGAGCAAAAGAGGAACAGCAGCAGATCCTCTCGGCTGGACAGGATATACATAGACAGCCACTTATCACAAGCACACTGTCGCTTGATTACGATTGTGCGTATGGAAGAGGAACGCATGGCGATATGTCCTGCTGGCACAAATGGACCCTGCCAACGCGGGAAAATATATGGAAAGTATATATACTTACATGCATTATAATAAATATTAATAGCCTTAAGAGACAGACACTAACGCAGAGAAACTGGAGTCAATAGCGTGTCTAAATATAGATGATACAATTCTATTTCAATTGGCTCAGAAAGAAATTATCGAACAACTCTCAGTTGGTAAGCGTCCATCAATAAACGCCAACGAAATAGTGACATCCCAATTGACACGTATATCCCCATAACGCGGCTACGCCATTAGAATGGTCAGGTTTCAGTGGACGCGTACGCTATCGCCTTTGATGTAACAGCCAAAACACACCCAGAACTCGAACAAAATCTGCATATCTCAATATTTACATATCATATATATGTCCTTGCTTTGTTTGTACGTATGCACAGAAAATGGTTCTAAATAATCGGCCTGTGTTATGATCAGTTCTTCGAGGACACTTATCGGACGAAGGTGCGCGTATGCTTAATGCGTAAGCATGCCTTTATTTCGTATCTGTCTTCTTTTCGGAGAGACCTCTTGCCTACGACTAATTATTTAGAAAAAAAACATCTCAGGTAGATGAAAATATATTGCTTAATTGCGTCGAATGGACTGTACGACCGCATGGGGACGCACTCGCGATATAGCCGCACCCGTCCTCACGCTAGCGCTGTTGGTAACGTGACTTTCCGCGTAGCTTGGAGACACACGGCCGCCTAACTTCAGATCCGGACACAGGAACAATTTGTCCCTGCTGGAACTTAATCGTTTGGAGTAATCCTTGCCGGCTTAAACAGCGGACGTGACACATCGCAAACACTTTTCCCATGCACAAACAGTTAAAGGAGCTAATTTTCGGTCGTCACATTTAAGCTCAGGCTAAGCTTTGCTGAACAAAAGTCGTTCTTTTTATACTGGTGAATATAGACATGTTGATAGATATGGTAAACAGGCAGGCTTACCTGTTCTGAAGCATGCTGTGCTGTAACGAGACATGGCCGGCAGGTGTTGTTGCTCCATTGTTGTTGCTAGCGGTGTTGACGTTGTTGGTATTTATGCTGTTACTGTTGTTGGGAGTTGACGCCAGATGAGACCCCGGATGACCGCCGGGCGCCGGCGGCGATCCGACACCGCCCATCAGTCCTGCGTTCCACATTCGATTCGCTGATCTGAATTGAAAGCGTCCGGTCATGTTGTCGTATCATCCACATGAAGAGAAAACGGGCAAATAGGAAATCAACGAAATCAATAATGCGGCCAAATAAACGTATATATTTCGATCTCTCCGCTGCCTCCTGTGCATCATGTGTTGACATGTTTCTGTTTCATTCTAGTAATTGTTGAAATATATTGCATTTTTGCATAACATTGCGTATCATACGATGCATATTGATCCAGGAAGTGTGCATTTTCTTTCAAATCAAATATGGGATATAGCGTTTTAAATGGATGCTTGTTCATGTTGCTCGATGGCTACCAATGTACTGGATATTATTACTGTTTGTGAATTTAGTAGCGAAGATCCAGCTATAGATAGATCTTGAACGTTGTAATTCCCTGGCTGTCGTTTACTGTGAACAAACGCAAACGAGAATTGACGACAAAAGGCTAGGTTCTACTCGTCTATACAGCAGGCCCATCGTATGCGCGCAGTCAAAATTGCTAGCATACGATCATTACCGCCATTAGTTATTGTTCCTATTGTACTGCTTCGTTGCTCAGTACTGCTTCACTTGGCTGCCTGTTCTCATTGAAATCGACATAATTTGATACGTCGTCATCGTCATCATCATTGGCGTCATTTTCGCCATCAAATGGGGGAAGATGGGGCAGAGGTGGGAGTCGGCGGAGCAGTCAAGGGAGGAGGACCAGAAGTAAGACGACAAATCGGAGTCCGCAGCGCCAGAAAAAGTCAGAAGAATAAAACTGCAAAGAGTAGAAACGAGTCAATACCGAGCAAATTGTAAATGGCACCAAGTGATGACGCCAATGCGCTTGCTTCGCCAGATAGACAGTCATTCGAAGGGCAGGAAAGACTTTTAGCGGCGGCGGCGGCGGCGGCGGCGGCGGCGGTGGTGGCGCTGGTGTCAGCAAAAGCAACACCATGCGCCACTATTGATAGCGGCGACCGGCGGTAACAGAATCGAAGATGAAAATACAGCAGAAAAAAGAGCGTACGATATCTTCTGATCGGCGCATACTGCGTTCGCTCGCCTGTTGCTCTTCTGTGCTCACGATGTCATAATTCATCAGAGACAACCCGAGCAGCAGCAGTAGCAGCAGCCGCAGCATCTTTAGAACATCGTCAACAACAACAACGACTAGACGAGTACCATCACGTCCTCCTACTCGTCCTCGTTCTTCTCTGTTTCCTCTTCGTTTTATTTTTTCTTTTCCTTTATTTCTGCTGCTGCCGGCGCTGCCACTATTGTTCATATATTGCTGTCATTAGCGTCTCTATAGATATCGTTACAGCATTGTTGTTAGCGCACGTACATTGATCATACATTTTCGACCAGCGTTTCGAACCAGTTTGGCCGCCGAATTACCTCTTATAAGAGTTGTCGTTGCTGTTACCATTATTATTATTATTATTCGTGTCTTCGATGCTTTGAAAAGGACGAGTCGTGATTACATACTGCAATAAGCATATATACATTTAGCATTGCGATTTGGGCGGTTGCTTGGCGGCCGCTAGTAAAATATCATAGGAGGCGGATCCCTACCACAAAATGATTGATAGTAATAATAATGTTTAAAATACGTCTATTCAATGATTTTCATATTCTACCGTCTCTGAGTGGGGCGCTTTGTTGCAGAGGGACAAAATGTCAGTGGAACTATTAGTGTCACAGTCAAGTAAGCTCTCAGATTTGTATTAGTCAATTGGTGACTTTCTTGATCGTGCCTTTGAAACTGCTGAGAAGTCATTTATTAATTGACGAACTTTTATGCTTCACTGTATATTTACATAATTTAGAAATGTCAGTACTTAAAAGTAATAATATTAATTATTATACGGTCTTCCGTTGTTTGCCTTTTGCTTTAGAGGCCCACAAATCTGAAAACCATACATGTATGCCATTTGTTCGATATATTATAGTGTGTTTTGTCTATATCGAGCATCATCATAGCGGTTAGCAGCTCAAATCTATTCGAGATCGCGCACTTGTTGTAGTTCGGCTATTTATCCGGTAGCAGATCCGGAAGTTCCGCTTGCTTCTGTTTTTGTATAACAGCGTTAATAAATTGGACCCCAACATTTTGTCGTTTTAGCCCAAGTCACAGTAACATCGTCGACCCATATCGGTAAGCAACCGTTCCTTTGAACGGTCATTTATTAAGGTTGACTAGATTCACGAGCTGCGTACATCCATCTTGTCCTCAAGTTTCCCGTCTACTCTGAAGCAGCTGAAACGGCAGTGAGGGTGGAAGAAGAGGTGACGAATTTAATAACGACATGTATCTTAAGGCTCACTCGGGCTAGAACGCGTTCTCCGTTTTACGCTGATTCACTCGTTTATATTGTCGGTATTAAGTGCTATATGTTGGCTATATATGTATATGTATCTAATTTCTGACTGCTCTTCGATCTTGACTTCAGTTAGATAAAGGGCGAATGTTTTTTTTTCTTATATAATACTCATGACGATCGATTTCCTACCGTGCAGCTAGTAACATGCTGCCATAACAATAGGTACTTGTTCTTCATTCTTTGGAACAACACCTCTTTTTTTCCTGCCGATATTACCGACAATCCAAACAGGGGTCCAGAGACGGAAAGGACGTCAGTTCGAAATAGCCGATAAGTCGACGCCACCCTATCCGCTAACGATGATGGAGTATCAGTTCACTTTACCTCGCCTATGATAATGGGTCAAAAGCACACTACACGTATACGTAACAGAGGCGGCGGTAGCAGCGGCAGTAACGATAACGGCCATAACAGCAGGTCAACAAGCAGGCCAGCAACGAAATAAAACGTACAGCGTCAAAAATTTGTGGCAACGAAGTGGGTAATCACAGCAGACGCACGAGGTAATCTGTATCACAGAATCTGTTTGGGAAGATGGCGCAAGATATCAGGTCGACCAGAGATAATCACAAGCGTTGCAATGTTTAAAGATATCATTTGATACGGCGGGGAAACGCCTGAGTGGGTGGGGCAAGTAAGAGAAAAATCATTCAAAATGAGAAATAGAAAAAGAAAGCTTGCAGCCGGCGAATTTACTATGGAGGAATTCGAATTTCCAATAGTGTAGGTGTGCATCTGGCTTGCTCCAAACACAGAGTGATGATATAGCGGACGAAAAAAACATGGACAATTGTGTAGAACAAAGATGATGAACAATGAAATAATTGATGTGTAAATCAGTTATCGTGAACATATATATATATATATATATCACTCTTGATAAAAGATAGACAAAAATGCAACGGAAATACACAACAGACCTAAGTCTCTGGAAACACCGTGTTAATAACGATAACTGTTTGTAGGTTATCAACAATAAGCGTTCTTTGCTCTAGCCTAGTCCTGTGCGAATATAATAGGTGAAATGCTTGTAATATGGTTTATCTCAGTGTTTTGGCTTGTTTCTCACGAGGTTCAATGAGGTTACAATTTCGGTCTATCCCTGCGCGCGTTACTTTAATGTTACTGCTTGTTTCTCCTGTTCCCGGCGTGCAGCGTTGAAACCTTTACCAGTAATCGCAAAGGTCACTGAAACGTTGACCTATCTAAACGGGTGTGATAATTGTCATGATAATATATCTCCTAATATATCCAGTATTTTGTTATAGCACTGTTATCACCGCGTTTCCATGTGTGACATAGAAACGGTGCGGCTTCCGACGTGCTACACACTCATAGTGGCTAAGCTGAAAATCTTGGTCGAGTTTCCTACCTATATTCTTTTCTGTTCCAGGAGGTAGTTGTGATATTGGCCCGACGTAATGCCTAAATATTTGTATAATTTCTCTCTATCAGCACCTTCCCTTGGATTAGAATAAAAAAATTGAAGGAAAAACCAAAAATCCTTAGGAAAAATCACTACTGAACTTTTGAGCGTATTAAACGCCAGCTTAAGTCCGTGCTTTTACTGTGACCGGTCTTCTGTTTCTGTATTTAATAGGACCGTCATCCTTAAGATAGTGCATGACTAGATGGTGTCCACGTCATGGCCGAACAATACATTTGGTTTCTTCAACCTCTTTCTATTGATGAGACTCAAACACAACACCTTAAATCCTTTCTGTGATCGTAGTGGTCGTATTCTCCTAATTCTGTCACACACGACGGGAACAAAATAGCTGATATCGGACAGCTCTACCTCAGTCGTGTAAAGTTTTTCAGTTTGATGTTCTCTGTAGCGGATGATCAGACTGTTTTCCTCATATAATAAGCTAAATATCGCGATCTATGCCACGTCCGTCGAGTATTTATCAGAGCTGGTCTGTGCTGGCTTTATCGTACGCTCTTGTTGCATCCAAAAAAGTTTTGCTCTGGTCCCCAGCTATCTCTATTATTGACGATGGTATAAAAATATTATTATCTATGCACATATTATTCCGGAATCTATTTAGAATTTCTACGAAGATTTCCTGTTTCTTTGTCCTTACCTCCACGCTGCGACAGATCAACTTTACTGTTAGTCTGAACAAGATAGAAAGTCTTGCGATATAAATATAGGTTGTAAGGGTCTGCACAAATTATGTATGCTTTGTGAGTGCGCTGCTATCCTGCCACACGTTTTTGCATCAACGTATCGCTATGCACTATTTTCTGACATACGTGCGGTGCCCTTTTTGGTTTTCGTACGTACGGGTATATTACCAGCTCAAGTGTTGGCGTCCTAGACTTCCCTCCCTCTATTCCTGTTTTCAATACCCTTTCATTATCTTAGGATTTCGCTAATGTTTTGTTATCATTGTTTTATCTGGCCAATTGAATAGAATCGGAAAGCCGTTCTACCACTGGTAGTTGTTGCGTCCGTTTGTGCCAAAATACCCACTGTTAAGGATTTTTTTTCCCAATCCATCTTGTTGCCCAATTTGCCTCGGCCCGATCTTCTTCCAAGCAGTAGGTAGACTTGACTACTGCAAATCTGCATGCGCACACACGTGCACATTTACATGCACACGGTATGACGTTTGTGGAAAAAATGTG